CCTTCCATGAAGAGCAACTAAGCAACACAATTAGTTACCTGTTTAAGGAATAACACAGTATTGTAATGCATTACTTTTAAAAGTAACTTACCCCAACACAATCGATAAGATACAAAAGGAATGTGGGAAAAATGGGGAAGTTCAGATTTTTTTACACATTATATTATATTACATTATATTATATTATATTATATTACATTATATTATATTATGTTGTTACATGTATTATGTTAATTATAATTACATTTAAATTTAACTATATAAAATAAACATTTATAATTTATTTACACTTTAATTTTACATTTGTAACTCATTTTTAACTGCATTTTACATCAGTTTTTCTACTTCAAAATGTTACATTTAATTCAATCTGTTACTTGCCGTTTCTTTTTAATTATTTGTATATATTATATTATAGTTCTTATTGTTATACTAATCTTGAAAACATTATTTTTAAAATTAATATTTTTTATTTATAAAAAAAATTCGGGATTCTTTGATGAACAGAAAGCTCAAAAGAACAGCATTTACAGAAATCTCTTGTAACATGATAAATGTCTTTACTGTCACATTTAATCAATTTAATGAGTCCTCGATGAATAAAATGTTCAATTTCTTTGTTTCTTTAAATATTACCGCTCCTTATAGTTTTGAACGATAGTGTATCACAGTTTCCACAATAAGATCGTTTTTCTTCCCAATCTGTTTTTATATTTTATATTTATCGTTGTTCATTCATATTCAGTCTTATAAGAAAAGGTTGTTTTTTCATGAATAAAATGACTCTGAATTTGACAGGAATTCTCAGTTAATATATGCAGCATATGTAATAGTTTAATAATGTTAGAGGGCTTCACTTTAGCAGCTCATTTGAATGATAAAACAGACGGTTGTGCTTCTGAAACGCGACGATGAAAGAGAAAGACTGATGTTTGAGATGTGTGTCTCTGAGACTGATGCTGCTGTTTTCTTCTCTCTGGTCTCCAGCGCTCTCCGGAGGTCTGCAGGGTCAGAGCACCTCGTCTGTGAGCTCGGAGATCAAATCTGAAGACGAGGGAGACGAGAACCTGCAGGACGGAAAATCTCTGGATAACAAGAAGGAGGACATGGACAGCAAGGATCTGAAATCTCTAGAGAGGTCGAGATCTAGGTAAACTGTAGCGTGAGCATCGCTTCAATCAAACGCCGTCTGGACTTTGATGAAGTGACACGTGTTCTGAGAGGCAGCTAAACGCACAGATGAGCAACCCAAGCTAAACACAGCACATTCTGATCCAGCTCATACAAACACACTGTTACTTTCAATTCAGCAATTCTCAAACGTTTTACATCTGGACATTAAATCAAATATTTAGCGTTATACCATACAAATTATAGAGAATACAGTAAGTGTAGAATTTATTTTCACTCAGAAATTGCTAGAACATTTTTACAAATAATTACAAAATAGATGGCAAATTAAACATGGCATTTTGAATTTTTTATTTTTTTTTGTATTTTTGGAAGCATACTCCAATAATATTAATTTTGTTTAAATTGTATTTATTTTTTTATCTTCTAAACATATTAATTTAATTGAAATAAACTAAAATCAAAATTAATGATTAAAAACCTAAACTTAAAAAATTACACGTTGCCTTAAAATGTTACATTTATTTTTAAGCGCTAGTAAATTTCACAAATAATTTTTACAAATAATTACAAAAAAAAAACAAAAACGACAAATTAAACATGGAATGTTGAAATAGAAAGTCTGAAATTTCAACTTCAAAAAATATTTTTTTTACAGAGCAAATTAAATAAAAGTTAAAGTGCCAAAATTACTAAAACTATTAAAAAATAATTTCTGTTAACTGAAATAAAGCTGAAATTAAATATATGAAATTATATTTAATATATAAAATGAATTGTGTTTTCTTTTTATATACTTTATATATCTAGAATCTTATGTACTTTTTGTATACTTTGTATTTTTATATACTATATTTATCTAGAATTGTGTATTCTTACTTTATAGATTTATATTTTATAGATCTAGAATTTTTATGTAAAGCTGTATGTAAAGTAAATAAAGCTGAAATAAAAATTTATATTAAATGATATTTAATATATAAAATGAATACATTTTAGATAGAAAACAAAACAAAACAAAACTTGCAAAAGGAAAATTGTTGCATTTGCATTGAAATTTCATGAGTTGCTAGTAAATTTCACAAATAATTACAAAGAAACTGCAAATATATAATCTCTCTTAAATGATAAATATCAGATATATATATATATATATATAATAGATCTGAGACTGAAATAGTTTTCAGCGACGCGCACATGTTGGGGTTGTTGAGCATCTCGTCTGGTCTTGAGCCAGATGTTAGCTGTTTCTCACACATGAGAGTAGGGCTAATTCATCCAGATTCATCCAGATATTTCCAGGATAAACGCCTGACTCCTCCCGCAGGGTTTATAGAGTTCCACCTGGAATGACCAATTCGACTCCTTCCACTCAAATTCAAGGCGATCTTTGCGACTGTGATTTCTGATGTCTGATTCAGATTTTGTTGGTTCTTTAAAGTTTGATTTGATGCATCATTAGAAACAGATTCACTTTTTACTGTTGAGCCTAAAATCAAGAAAATGGACTAGGGATTCAATGCTAATAAATATGATAAATATTTTGTCATGGCTGATATTATAAATCATCTAAACTTCTAGAAGATTTCATCTAGAATTTCAGCATTTAATCTAGAATTTCATATACTTTTTGTGTCTTATATCTTTTTATATACTTTATATATCTAGAATTTTATGTACTTTTTGTATACTTTATGTATTTTTATATACTATATATATATATATAATTGTGTTTTCTTTTTATATACTTTACATATCTAGAATTTTATGTACTTTTTGTATACTTTGTATTTTTATATTCTATATAAATCTATAATTGTGTATTCTTTTTATATACTTTATATATCTAGAATCTTATGTACTTTTTGTATACTTTGTATTTTTATATTCTATATAAATCTATAATTGTGTATTCTTTTTATATACTTTATATATCTAGAATCTTATGTACTTTTTGTATACTTTGTATTTTTATATTCTATATATATCTAGAATTTTATATTCTTTTTGTATTTATTATATATTTTATATACTTTATCTAGAATTTTAATGTTCTTTATATAGCTAGAATTTTAGATATTTTTGTATCTATATTAGGTATTTTTATATACTTAATATATCTAGAATTTTAGTTACTTTATATAGAGAGAATTTTATGTATTTTTATATATATTTTGTATACTATATTAATCTATAATTTTATATTCTTTTTATATACGTTATATATTTTTTGAATTTTAAATACTTTATATATCTGGAATTTTCTATTCTTTTATATGCTTTATATATCTAGGATTGTATGTACTTTTTGTATCTATTATATCTTTTAATATATTTAGACTTTTTTTATTTTACATATTTAGAATTTTAGATACTTTTGTATCTATTATATCTTTTTATATATTTTAATATATTTAGAATTTTTTGTTTTATATATTTAGAATTTTAGATACTTTTGTATCTATTATATCTTTTTATATACTTTATATATCTAGAATTTATGATATTTTTTATATCTTTTATATATTTTTATATATTTTAATATATTTAGAATTTTTTGTTTTATATATTTAGAATTTTAGATACTTTTGTATCTATTATATCTTTTTATATACTTTATATATCTAGAATTAATTATATTTTTTGTATCTATTACATCTTTTTATATCTTTTAATATATTTAGAATTTTTTATTTTATACATTTAGAATTTTAGATACTTTTGTATCTATTATATCTTTTTATATACTTTATATATCTAGAATTGATGATACTTTTTGAATCTATTATATATTTTTATGTACTTCATACGTCTAGTATTTTATATTGCCTACTTTGAATATTGTAACTTTTTATCTAGAATGTTTTATTCCATAAACATAATGTGTTCAGCACTAAATCTGGCACAGGTTGAATTAGAGAAACGTAAGCCCTGATATGGTCCTGATGAATGAATGAATATCCTCACGCTCCGGCCCACAGCAACAACGACGACGAGGATCTGACTCCGGAGCAGAAGCTGGAGCGGGAGAAGGAGCGGCGCATGGCTAATAACGTGCGGGAGCGTCTGCGCGTGCGCGACATTAACGAGGCCTTCAAAGAGCTGGGCCGCATGGTGCAGCTGCACCTGAAGAGCGACAAACCCCAGACCAAGCTGCTGATCCTGCATCAGGCCGTCGCCGTCATCCTCAGCCTGGAGCAGCAGGTCCGAGGTCAGTCACTGCAGCATTCTCAGCACAAACTGAGCTCTCTTTTCATTCATTGTGTGCTCAAACTAGAGGTTTTTATTATTATTATTATTATTTAAAGGGATAGCTCACCCAAAAATGAAAAGGTTGTCATCATTTACTCACCTTCATGTCGCTCCAAACCTGTATGAGTTTCTTTCTTCTTTTGAGCACAAAAGAAGATATTTTAAAGAATGTTGGGAACCAAACAGTTGATGGTCCGCAGTGTCTTCCATAGTATTTCCTTCTCTATTATGGAAGTCAATGGGGAGCAACAACTGTTTGGTTCCCAGCATTCTTTAAAATATCTTAATTTGTGAACTATTCCTTTAATTGGATAATTGCAATATAGTAGTTATATACATTATAATAATTAAAATGACAAAATAATAATAAGAATTATTACTATTATTATTATTATTATTATTATTATATATGCATGTATATTTCATTGGATATTGGATGCTTATTAATTGGATCAAATGTAGTGGTCATAAATATTATACAATTTTTTGGATTATTATACATATTTATAACTTGTATATAGCAAACACTTTCTGTATTTATTACTGTACAGTAGCTGTTCAAGAGTAGATCTGCTTGATTTTGTATATTATATTTAATATAGTATTATTTTTATTGTTATTAAATAACTAGTAATTATAAATAATATTTAATACTCTTTTATTATTATAGATAATAATAATTTGTATATAGCAAACGCTTTCTGTTTATTGACAGCTATTCTGGTTTAGAGTTTTAGTATTTGTATTTTATATTTAATATATTTTTATTAGTACAATTAATTAATTAATATTTTTAGATGACTCTTGTATATAGCAAACGCTTTTTATTAATACAGATGTTCTGGATTAGATTTGCAGTATTTTATATGCAATACACAAGTGTATTATTATTAATAATAATAATAATAATAATTTCTGGGTTTATTAATGTAGCTGTTACAAATTAGATTTACCATATTTTATATTTAATTTCATATTAATAATATAGTTTTATATTATTACTATTATTATTATTATGTAATTATTAATTTAAAAATATCTTATTATTTATAAATAATATGATAAATACGAATAAATCCTGCATGTAGAAAAGACTTTCTGTTCCAGATTAGATCGGCCATATTTTGCCGTAGTGCCGCTTTTGTCCTCTGGATGGCGTCGTCTGGTTTCTCCAGGAGCCGCTCAGTGTGTGTGTAATCAGTAAAGTGTGTATTTTTGTGTTCCTCACGTTCCAGAGCGCAATCTCAACCCAAAGGCGGCGTGTCTGAAGAGGCGGGAAGAGGAGAAGGTGTCGTCGGACGGTGCTCCGCTCTCATTGGCCGGCGGTCACCACAGCATGGGCGAGGCGTCCAATCCCATGGGACAAATGTAAAGAGCCACACCCCCGTAAATGGTCAGAATATTTCCCTCTGCACTGATCTGCTGTTGTACACGTCCCAAAACAATCAAACCTGCAATCACTAGCTTTCTCACAATAACAGAATTATTAGGCAAAGTGATGCAGAACGTTTGGATTTCTAATCATTGGTCACATGCCACGTAAACTTATTTAATGAATCAAACGATGACTAGTAATCTAAGGGTGGCGAAAAAAATTAAACCTCTAAAAATGTAAAAATGGGCGCATTTTAACAACAGATTGGCCGTAAGTGTGGGTTATAATTTGTGTACATACAGATTTTGATTTTTAAACTATGTATTATACATTGTTCATTTACAATAAAAACAATTGATAAGGCTAAATGAAGATATTTGCACACATTGAAAGGTGCATGTACACAAAATCACTGACCATTTCATTCAAAAGTGCTGTTTTATGATGATTGTCATGATTTGTTTTAGTCTCCAGATTGTCTGATTTAATTCCTCACTGTTTGTTTGATTTTGTAAAAGCAGAAATAAATCAAGGGAAAGCATGAAAAGTGCAATGTTCACGTTGCATTATGGGTGTGAACAGACACATGCAGCTCCAAAGGTTTCATGTTTAATGTGCACTTAATGAGTTTACAACTTATAATCAAGGTGTGAATTAAACCCAGTTCATTCATCTTCACGTTAATTTACAGATTTTAAGATGAGGGAAAACATTCGGTAAACAGATATGTTTTTAGATGCGTTCAGAGCAGCAAATAGAAGAAAAATCTGCACTGTAGTGTCAGTATATGATTATTTTAAATGCGCAGGTTACATTTTACTCCACAATCAACAGAAGAAAATAAGTTCTATTTTGTATGTAAACAATGTAAAGACATTTTTAGGAATGCTTATATAATATAAATTATTATGTAGCATAATGCAGTATAATTTTGCATTGCAATAACAAGAATTGTTCAGTTAAATTAAACGATCAAATATATTACATAAAATATAATATAAATTATTATTTACATGCAGTATAATATTCATTAATGTACTACATTATTGAGAGTACTTTATTATTTTTATTTATTTACATATTTTGCATTACAGTAATGAGAATTATAAAAATAAAGAATCAAAATATTACATTAACAAAAATAAAAATTATTTACACATAGTATAATTTTCATTATTGCATTACATTGATGAGAGTACTTTATTATTTTTAGAATTATCATAATTAAAATAATTAGAATTTTTATTTGCGTATTTGCATTGTAGTAGCAAGAATTATTAAATTAGTCAAAAAATATATAATATAAATTATGTTCTTACAGTATAGTTTTCATTGCTGTATTACATTAATGATAGTATTTTTATTATTATGTACATTATTAACATATTTTTCATATAATTATTAATTCAAGAAAATTAAGTATTATTAATTATTATAATATAATTTAATATAATATAATTATTATGCCCATAATGTATCATTTTCATTACTTCGTTACTTTTATTATTTTTGTTTATTTGCAGATTTTACATTGCCGTATTAATTAAATTGCATTGCATTAAATTAAAGAATTAAGGAGAAAAATGTGGTTCAATGGCATGACCATGTCGACCTCCTAAAAATAATCTCCATTTACTTTAAGCAAAATACATATTTAGAAGTGCTTTTGTGTTAACGTCTCTCTCCGTCTGTCCATTTTTCAGGTCGAAGCTGCCAGAATTCATCAAAATGATGAGCGATCACTTCCTTTGATAGCGTCATTTCTGCCCCGACCGTCCGTCAAACAATCAATCGACCGATCGAACGAACGAACGAACGAACTTCCATCCGACCGACCAACTCCTGCGTGTTCCCGTTCCTGACTGCGTCTGTGAGGATTTATCCTGTAAATTAGGGAGTGGCGCCGGATTCGTTGTGCATATCTTCCTCCAAGCATTCCCTGTTGCAAAAGAAGACGTTTTTATGTACGAACACACACGAAAAAGAGCGACGGGCGATTCTTCAAACATATCATGATGTTGTGGAGGTGTGGAGGGCAGCCGTCTGATTTCAATGGCAATCCTGTCCACACTGTGGAACTTTTGTAGCTGTGCCTCGCGGAACTCCTTACGGAAAAATAGAATTAGGAAATTCCCAATCAGTCGGGACGAGAGGAGCTGTCAATCAAACGACCCAGACGGGATTCGGCTGCAGAATTTGACAAAACCCTTCAAACCTTTGCAATAATGTTGTTTTAGTTCCTGTGAAACCAGCAGATCCCGGCAGTGAACGTTCAGAGGCCGTTCTGGAGCCGCTTTGGGCTCGTTTCGCGAACTTTTGCGGATCACCTACGGAAGTCATTTCGTTTATTTGTTTGTTTCTAGCCATCGACTCTCCCGAAGCCCTCCCGGACCCCGAAGATGCAATTTTAACATGTCGAAACTTCAACCAACGTGCCTTTTAGAGCTCATATCATCACACAACTGAAGGAGAACATTATCTAGGATGCAAGCGTATAGGAAGCGTTAGTCATTAGGTCTATGCAGTCAGGTTTTTTACGACCTGGAGTTTAAAAAATAAAAAAAAAAGTAAAAAGGTAAAAAAAAGTATTTTTGGGATAAACTGTATTTAATGTACTGTACGGCTATATGTAATTAGGAGGTGTGTCCAGCCCTGTGTGGCCCCGCCCACAGCCCCGCCCACCTGTCACCGTCGTTATTGAGCATTGTATTATAGATATCCGCTTTTACGAATACAGGCTTGTTGTTGAGCCGCTGTAGTACAAATGTGTGGTTGTACGTGTAAAATGGCTTTTTCTCTTTTTTAATCTCTCTATTCTTCGTCTGTACTGGTTTCTCTGTCAAAAAAAATGGGAAAAAATGGACGGGAGGCACTGAAAGTGGACACAAATCTATTAGAAAATCAATATATATAAATGTAGAAATATATACAGTATATAAAGAAACGGAAAGGAGTTCACGAGGAGCGGTTTTTCATTCTGTAAAGCCGAGCGGAGACGTCCCCAACGCCATCCGCTCCGAGAGACGTGACTCTATTTTTCATAACGTCACCGCGATCGTAACGGCGGTGAATGACGCTCTCGCAAAACCGCCGGCGAAGGGAAACACACACGGACATTTGTAAATTGTATGCAACAAATGCAAACGTACCATTATTTTGAAATTGTGTATGTAAAAGTTATATTTTTACATGTAGGCTGTTGTTATTTTGTGTTTAGAAATGCGTTGTATCAGTTCTTCTCTTTTGTTTTTTCAAAAAAGTACTTCATTGTGTGTTGAAACGTGTCACATTGAAAATATAGTGAGAAAAAAAGCAAAAAAAAAAAAAAAGTTTATATTTGCGGGAACATTTTTCTTTTCTATAACGGTGGGTGGTGGGGGTCGGGAATCAAAGCTATACGATTACTCTTTCATCCTCTTTCATCATTACATTGTCATTTTTAATTGAGTATTTTTTGTGTAAATAGACGCGGGTCGATGACCTGCCGTTGATCATGTGGCCTGGTGAGGACGTGATTGATTAACGTTAACGTGTGTCAACAATCAGACCTTAATTTACATTCTCACTTTTGTAAAGAGGCATCGCTGAAAGAATCGAAACGACGACTCGGATGTTCTGCGCATTTGCCACCGGCCCTCAAATGCAAAATTTAGGCCTGAATTTAATGTAAGTTGCATATAAAATTTGGACGACACCGTTTTAACACAATTAACTTAATGTGGTGCATATTTGTCATACATAAATGAGACTAAACTAAATGGTTTATACAGTATATTTATCATCAATAAGCCCATTTTGTTTCAGCTTCACGGATTTCACCTAATTGACTCTTACGGAAACCTGTTTCCACCACAGAAAAAAATAAATAAATAAAGGAAATTGCGACTTTCTGTCTTACAATTTGGACTTTTTTTTTCAGTTCTGAGAAAAAATCTTGCAGTTCTGACTTTTTTCCCAAATTCTGTTTATATCTCACAATTCTGACTTTTTCTCGCAATTCTGATTATGTCTTGCAATCGTAAACTCGGAGGAAAAAAAGTGAGATTCTGACTTTTTTCTCACAATTCTGAGTTTTGTTTTTTTTTTTACAGAATTGCAAGCAAAAAATTCAGAATTGCTAGATATAAACTCAGAATTGTTTTGTTTTTTTCGCAGATCTACTTTTATATCTTGCAATTCTGAGATTTTTCTCACAATTCTGCATTTATTTCTGACAATTAAGACTTTTTCTGGTGATTCAGACTTTATGTTGCAGTTTTGTGTTTATATCTCAAAATTCTGAAAATTCTTTTTGTTTCCGCCATGGATTAAAACATAAAAATTCAGATTTTTTTTAATTGTGGGGAAAAAGTCAGAGTTGCAAGATATAAACTGAGAATTGTGTCTTTTTCTCAAATAGCTGCTTTTATATCTTTTTTAATTCGGACTATTTTCTCACAATTCTGTGTTTATATCTCGCAATTCAATTCTTTTTTCTCGGAATTCTGCATTTGTATCTCTAAATTCAGATTTTTTTTCTTGGAATTCTTTTTGTTTGTTTGTTTGTTTCCGCCATGGAATAAAAAATTAAAAAGGTCATTGCGACTTTCTATTTCGGAATTACAAGAAAAAAATCTGAATTGTGTGATAAAAAAAGGTTTATCCCTGAAATAAGCTTCCATATAATCCTGCTTGTTCCACAGCTAGCCATGTTTTATATATTAACTAAATAAATTTAATTGTTTTCGCAATGAACAGATTTATGCTGATTTTAATCAATGTGAATAAATGCATTTTGATTATTTATTGATGCCATTATTTTTTGTACAGTATGTTTTAAGTATAGTATGACTGACAGAAATGCATCACATCATGTTTATATGTTAATGTTAAAACTCTTACTGCAAATTTTATATAGCATAAATCATAAATTAAGGCCTAAATATGTTGTTTTTTTTTAAATGCAGTCGCAACATGCACAATGTCATGGGTTTTTCTACTTGATTTGCAGGTTCAAACGATTGCAGAAAACACTCCAGCAAAAGCCTAGTATTGAAAAGTGTGGTACATCTGTACTTTTGCATTGCTTCAGACATGCTAGTGTTCTTGTCCTTCAGTAAATTTTGAACACCTGAAGTTGTATTTTGCCAGTGCTAAAGATGTTTGACTAATTCTCTCCTTGTGCCACATCATGTTGTTGTAGCCAATTGAATTACTATGATTGCAGTGGAAAAGATGATGTTTTCCTCTTGGTTGTTCATAATGTATATACTTGTTCTTGCTTTTATGAACTGATTTTTTTTAGTCCAATGCAGAACTGAACTGTAAGCGATCTTTTCCATCCTCAGAAAGCAAACCTGGGCAGTGTCATCTCTGTTTATTTAAGTGCTCCTCACGTGGAGGATTGTGAGATAAAGATTATTTGACGCAAACAGCATCGTACAACTGGTCTTTGCTGCTTTCTCAGCGCATTTGTCGGACGGATGCGTTGTCTTTGTCACTTGAGTGTGATTTCAATAAAGAGAGACGATCTAGAAGCTCAAAATATCCTCTATATCAACTGCCAGATCACATTTTCACATCAGTTACGTGGATCGAGTGCTGATTTCAGTGCAAATTTAACACACAAACCAACAATTAAGAGTTTCAGTAATTGTAATCAGCATTTCTGTCATGTTTTCAGCTGAAAACATCTTTAAAAGTGGACAAAAATGATGGAAACTTGTTTGAAAACAGTCATTATTTGTGTCTTTATGACGCACTTCACCTTTAAAAGAATGCATTTATTTGAGAAGCAATTTGCTTAAGATGTTAAGACTTGTTTTAAGATAATATATATGAAATTGTTCAAATTGTTTTGTTTTTCTTAATTTAGTGTGGCGTCTGCACGCAAAAAAATACTTTGAAACAATTTTTACTCTGAAATAAAGCAAGTAGATTTAAAACATAATTACAAATAAATGGCAAGTAACACTGAATTAAACATGACATTTAAAACCAGACTAAACTGGAATATAAACCATTTTAACAACACAAATTTTTGAAGGTAAAATGTGAAACAAAAACAAAACAATAATGACAAAAATGATGGAAACTTGTTAGAAAACATGACACACTTCACCTTTAAAATTATGTTTTTATTTGTGAAGCAATTTGCATAAGATGTTAAGACTTGTTTTAAGTTAATATATTTGAAATTGTTCAAATTGTTTTGTTTTTCTTAATTTATGCATATGCAAAATTTAATGTGGCATCTGCACTGAAAAAAATTACTTTGGAACAATTTTCACAAATTTTTTTAATAACACTATGGTAGAGTTGTGAAGGTGAAATGTCTAATGCCAAATATAATGACATAAAATGGTGAAAACCTGTTTGAAAACAGTCATTATCTGTGTCTTTATGATGCACTTCACCTTTAAAAACATGCATTTATTTGAGAAGCAATTTGCATAAGAAATTAAAACTTGTTTAGGATAATATATATATATATATAATTGTTTGAATTGTCAACAATCTTCACTTGGAAATTACTAAATTTCACAATTTAAGTAACACTGAATGAAACATTAAATTAAAACAATATTTAAACAATTTTAACAACTTTACTATGGTAAAGTTTTGATAGTGAAGTGTATAATGCCAAACATCATAATGACTCAACCAATGACATAAATACAGTGGAAACTTGTTTGAAAACAGTCATTATTATGAGTCATTCATTTGAAGAGCAAATTGCATGAGATGTTGACTTTTTTTTTTTTTTACAAAACATTTAATACAAAATTGTTTTGTTTGCATATGCATGTGCAAAATGTGCATAAATCTGCACTGAAAAAAAACTGAAACGATTTTCACTCAGAAAATGCAAATAAATTTCACAAGTAATTGCAAACAAACGGCAAGGAAAACTGAATTAAACGAAATTTTAAAGCAGAAAAAATTTAATATAGTCATGTAAAAAATCTTCGAAAAAAAGTCAAAAAACATTTACGGTGTGGCTAAAAATGCAATTAAACTTAATTTGCTTAATAAATTGAATTCTAATTGAAGAGATATTCTCTGAGAGCAAGTCTAATACTGAATGCAAAGTTAAATATGCAAACTAGTCTTCCATTTTTGACAGTTAACTTTCAAATCAGAAATTAAAATAAAAAGTCGAAACAAGATGACGAATGTAATCCCAGCTTCATAATCGCGAGCGCGTTCAAGCACAACTGACAGGAGGAATGAAACATCTCCAGATCACACAGAATAAGTCTTTCAGCCTTCGCTGCGTTTCTTTGTGCAACATGTTTATCGTCGTAATGGTGAGCATTTATGAACCGTGGCCTTTAATTCTTCTTAGTCGTGATGCAACTCAAGTGAAGAATCGTGACCATCAGAGAATCGCCGTGTTCCAGTGCCTGGATTTTTGTTATAAAGCTTCGTTTATCTGCATTTTTGCTATGAAAAAGACGAGTGCATTCGGGAAAAATATCACCTGCATTTCAGATCAGACTCGATTTGGCGAATTTTTTGCAGGGCGATCCTTTTATACCAGTAATGTTGACAAAATAAGAGTCTGAATCGAGACTGTTCCATTTTATAGAGTCATTCAGATAAACGTTTGTTACTTTATTTAGCTATTTAAAGATGATTTGGAGACGCAGATGTGTTTGAATGAGAGAAATGAAGCAATTATTCGAAACAGTTACACGTCCTGTCTAATGTGTGTGTGTGTGTGTGTGATTCATTTTCTGGATTCGTTTTGATTTCTGTTGTAAATGTGATGTTGTTGTTGTTGTGTTTCTCTAAAGCTCATCTTCATCTGTTTGTTCTCATCCTGTAGTAACTCGATGTCATGTACATGACCGTCTGTAGCAATAAATGTGACCTTTTTATGACCTACGGCTTTCAGCTTTTTGTTTGTTTGTTTGTTTGATTTGAATTGAATTGAAATTTTAGATTTTTAATATAGCAAAAGCACAAATGCAGCCAAATTTAAACCAGTTTGCATGAATTAACCAAAAATGTTCATAATATTTGTATAAAAGAATTGCAAACATGCTTAAAGCGCATTTATATCCAGACTAAACCGACTCTATATGCTAAATTTTTAGATATTATATTTTAGATTTTTGTGCATAATTTTTTTACTTTATATTTAAGCTTTTTAATATAAGCACAAACTGAGCCTAAATATTCCTTTTAAAATACAAATAATTCAGACATTCATGAATTTTTTTTTCTTGTTTTCCAATAACAATGTCTAAACATATTAAAACGAAATACAGTTATGTGAAAAGCAAAACTGCGTAAGATAATACCAGGATAATAAAATATTTTGTCATAAAATATCCTAGTTTTTATATATAAAATTGTTATAATAGTTTATATAGTTTTGTATCTTGCTCAATTAATTTAATAATTAAAAACATTATTTTATTACTTGTGAACATTTTTTTTAAATAAAATATTTCAGACATAAAATAATTCATCAGTATTTATGTCTTCCAAAATGACGTCTAAACATGTTGAAACGATACATTTATTTGAGACGTAAAATTGCACAAGATATAACAGAATAGCAACATGTTTTCAGAAAATATCTTTGTTTATTTTGCATCTTGCTCAATTGATTTAAATAAATAAATACAGTAATAATAATATTTTTTGTTTTTTTAAGAGGTTTTCTTTTTTAAACATCATAAAGATGAACACATTTTTTTGTTCATTTTACTTGCATTTAAAAAGTACAGTACCATGGTAACAATAATGTTTTACTGAATGAATATAAAATGTATTTACTATAATATAACAGAAATAAAGGCACCTCTAAAACTGGTGTAAACAACAATGACAAGAACAATGCTTTAAAAACAAAAATGATCAAAAATGTTCAGAATTGCACTCTTAAAAATAAAGGTGCGTAAAAGGTTCTCCACAGCGATGCCACAGAAGAACCATTCAGTCAAAGGTTCTTTAAAGAACCATCTCTTTCTTACCTTTTTTATAATCTGAAGAACCTTCTTTCTGTTTTTGTGAAACAGAAAGGTTCTTCAGATGTTAAAGGTTCTTTATGGAACCATTTGTGACCCTGAAAAATAGTTGTATCTCAGCCAAATATTGTCCTATCCTAACCATACATCAATGGAAAGATTATTTATTCTGATGTATTAAACTCAATTACAAAAAATGGACCCTTATGACTGGTTTTGTGGTCCAGGGTCACATTTAGACAAAAAGGTTCTTCTATGGCATAGTAAAGCACCTTTATTTTTAAGTGTGCATGCATGTTTATCTTCCTTTATTTAACCAGGAAGGTCCCATTGAGTTGCAGCATGTCTTCAGGGAGTCCTAAACCTTGTTTTACTGTAAACTGTGAGACGCCCAAAGCGGGCCGGTCCTGTACAGAACGTCACAGACGTGCTTGAGCTCTGAGCTGTGAATCTGACGTTAGCGTGCGTCTCCCTCGCTGTCACACTGTCTGTCTGTCAGCTCAGATCCACCCAGGAACTCCTGCGAGTAAACACACACACACACACACACACACACACACACACACACACACACACACACTCAGCACAGCGACATGCCTCATCAACATATGTGTGTGTTTCATGATCAGTTTATGTAAGGAACACATTCATGCTTTATGACTAGATATGTTGTTTAGATTTTAGTGTGGTTCATGATCCGTTTATGTAAGAAGCACATTCATGCCTTATTACTACATATGTTGTTTGGATTATAGTGTGTGTGTTTCATAGTTAGTTTAGTATTATTTAGTTTTGGTTAATATTTTGAAATAGATTTTATTTTTATACTCTCAGTTTTCACCTTAATTTGAGTTAGTTTTAGTAATTTAGTAATTTTAGTCATTTAATTTTTTTTATAATTTTATATTTTATATTATTTTTTTTATATCTATATAGTATTTATTCATTGTTATTTATTCGTTTTTATTTAGTTATTTTATTAAATGAAAATTGCCATAAAGTAAGTTTCATATAAAAAGTTTAATATAAAAAAATTGATTTTTATATTTTATTTTGTTTCAGTTAACATTTATTTTAAGTAATGCATTTTTGTATGGTTTTAGTTTTAGTTAACCATAATAACCTTTGATGTTTTGTTGTTTGTTTGTTTTCAGACAAGTGTAAACAAAGTAATTCTGGCCCTAAATACATTTGTAAAAATCCACCGTGGTATTCAAAGATATTACCCTAAAATACCCACATTACTACAATAATATTTTAGTAAATGCCATTAAAATAAATAGCAGAAATATTCTGATTCTTATACTGTTTATATGACATCCCATATGAATATATTATGATTTTACTGTTTCAAATCCTATAGACTTCTATTATTTTACATCAAGTCCGATGGATTTGTAAAGAGCTTTTATGGTGCTTTTATGACCTAATATTCTGTTAAACGGGGGAATAACCTGATATGTGTCTGAACATGATGAGGTGAATGATGACATGCTTTAAGCGAAAGACACAGATACTCTGAAAGCACAATAGGTTTCACTGACTTCTTCTTTTCCCTCCTTATTCAGCATGTTGGCCAAAGGCATGCTGGGAATCCACTCCCCGCTGTGGCACGCAGGAAAAGCAGCGTGACTTATTACGTAATGCAGTAATGCAGTAACGTACGAATAATGCAGAAACACGCCGTCAAGTCAGTCCGCGAGTGTCTGCTGCAGTGCATTGTGGGTGTGGTGGAGGGTCAGGGTCACACAGACTGACAGAATTAATAAACTGATCTGTTAGTGTTCAATGGCATGTGTTTGAGTGGCGGATTTGTCAGTAAAGATGATTTTGCTGAACTAATGCTCTGTCAGCACTGATTCATCATAGACATGCATGTTGACTTGTTAGATGTTTATTTTATTCTTTTAAACAGGCATTTAAGCTAGACTTAAAACCAAACAATAACTTAAAATAAAATTAATATTTTGTGCATGCGATTAGCACAGAAAATGATTTTGAACAAAAATGCATGTACTTTTTTTGGAAGTCTATTTATTTATTTATTTAGCATATTTTATTATTATTATTATTATTATTATTATTATTATGTGTTCAATTCTGACCTTATTTACTTAGAACCAAATAACAACAACAACAACAACAAGGCTTTGCCAAATTTGTATGTTAATTAGAAGTCTATGGTTTCATGTTATTTATTTATTTATTTATTTGTTTGTTTGTTTTATTTAAAGTGGATTATACCAATATTTTTTTATTACTGGTATGATTTATGTTTTATTATTATTATTATTAGTAGTAGTAGTAGTAGTAGTAGTAGTAGAATAAATTTTAGACACAAATGCTTTGACAAATTTCTATGTTCATTGGAAGTCTATGGAAGTATTTATTTATTTGTTTGTTTGTTTGTTTTAAAGTGGCTCATACCAATATTTGTTATTACTGATGTGATTTATATATAAATATATATATATTTAAATAATGAAAATTAAAATTATGTTTATTATTATGTGTTGTTATAAACTACTTATAAATAATAATTTCTAAATATTATTATTTATTATTATTATGGATTCTGGTCTTGTTTTCCTCTAGTGCTGGTTTTCAGTTTAATGGATGAATAAGGGCATCTTACAGAAGTAATCCCAAAGCATCCAATCATTTATTCTTTGTCTTTTTTTCTAACATTTCTTCATTATATTCATAATATTGTTGGGTTAGGCATTTTATTGGATCCTGAAGGACTGGATATAAACGGATCTGACTCTAGAACACATTCAAAATTCCTTAAATAGTTCAGGATCATTTGAGCTCAAGAAGATTCCCAAATATGGTGAGGAATAACATCCGCTCTTGTGTAAAGCAGATTTACCACAGTAAAACCCTGCTGCCGTTGACAGGCTTTAGTTGTCAATGCGGCTGGAGGGGCGTGGCTCAGGTTCACGGGCGTGTCTCAGGCCACGCCCACACGTGCACAGGTGACCCGCCCAGGTGTGAAAGTCACCGCGCACTTCAGCAAGAACAAACACACCTGAGAGACAGGAGAGGACACGGATCTGCTCCACATTCAACGGTAAACTCTCTTTACTTCACTTGACGCTCCTTTTACTCCATAAGCGCTTTAATAGATCGATTATCGATAATCTGCGACGCGACAGTGAGTGCTTATGTGCGATCAGCAGGTCAAAGTGCGCCTAAGGTAAAGATATTTATCATTTTTGATGTTTAATATGAAATGTGAGCTGCTGTTGTTTCCGATTTAACTAGTTTAGTAACTTTTAAAGCGATTTTGTATTACAAAAATAGTACTAACTGAAATAGTTGCCTAATATTTAAATATATATATATATATATATATATTAATTTTAATCAAAATGTTTCCGATGTTTAGTAACTTTTAAAGCGATTTTGTATTACAAAAATAGTACTAACTGAAATAGTTGCCAGTTGCCTAAATATATATATATATATATATATATTAATTTTAATCAAATATCAGTAGAAAGTTGTATGACATTTACTGTGGTTATACTAGGCTATATATA